ATAAAAATGCCAAATCCAGTCTAAATATCTTGCCGACTGTGTCAACACCCATAATACATTAGATATCATTGATCATATGCGTCAGGCAAAATGGCACATAGACCATTTGGATGTCATGAAATAAAACTGAAAATGCATAGACATTCCTAACTATTAAAAGGTAACATGCAAAATATTAGTTAAAATTAGTTAAGGGTCTCGGTCAGAGTGCCGTACTGCAAGCTACTTCTGCTGCAGCCAGCTGCCTGCAGTTTGGCAGATCAAATCTCACCAGGCTCAAGGTTGACTCAGCCTTCCATCCTTCCGAGGTGGGTAAAATGAGGACCCAGGTTGTTGGGGGAAATAGGCTGACTCTGTAAACTACTTAGAGAGGGCTGTGAAGCACTATAAAGCGGTATATAAGTTTAAGTGCTATTGCTATTGCTATTAAAATACATCTACAAATGAATGAAGAACTGCAGTGGGATGGACTTCAGAGTTGGGAAGATCCAAACAATGAGACAAGTTAACTTGCCAATAAAGTCAAGAGTATTTGTAGCTCAGGGTTGACATGAAGAGTCCTCGGTGCTCTTTGAGCTTGGTTGTTTTCTTGCACACATTTCATCGTCCAAACTAGGTACCATCATCAGTGCTAGTTTCATTTGGATAGTGACACGTCTACAAAAAAACCCAACCAAGCTCAGAGAGCCCCAAGGACCCCTCTGAAACTAGATTTGATGGAATTATTTCTCCTTGCCTGTCTCACGCATTTCACAAACTCTTACAAAGGTTTATTTTCCCTGTTAACTATTCACAGCTGTGGTAGCAAATCCAAGGAGAAGAAAGCGGAAAGGAGGGAAAAGCCTGCCTGATTGCTCTGTGTGCTACAGAAGTGATTACCGACTGTGCCATCTTTCATACTTGATGCGGGGAGGTCCCCAGCTGCTTCCTTTCTAAAGGCATGACTAGACTTTGAAACTGCCAGGTAGGGGAGGGTTCCCTGCTAAAAGCAAAGCAGTGTTAATGTTACTTATACAAAGGCTTCCCAAGGGAATAATGGAAAGCTTCACTTCAGTTTCTATAACTACGTTTCTCTCTCTCTCTCTTTCTCCTTCTCTTCCTCCCCACCTCTATGAGTGTGTGCGTGTAAAAATGTGTGTCTGTATTTTCTGTGTTCTATGTGTATACAGGTGTGTGCATATTCTTTGTGTACACGTATGTGTGCATGCACGTACTTCGTGCATTTTATGTGTAGACACGTGTGTGGTTGTATAAAAGTGTTACATATTCTGGGTATGTTCTGTGTGTATACGACTGTGCATATTCTGTGTTTGTACAAGTGTGTGTGTGTGTGTTTCCTGTGTATACAAGTATGTACAGTATGTGGGTTCTGTGTGCATTCCATAATGCCCATCAATGGAGCAGCAGTAGTCTAGTGAACACGGAAGCAAGCAGGGAATACCTTCAGATAATGTGTGGATGCAAGAATATTATCAATAGGTACAATACTGTCATAACACCATTTCTATACTGTCAAACACAGATGCCATTAATCCTCATTACTCTGTTTTTGGAATTTCCAGCAGTAGAGAACTTTTTTTAAAAATATGCTGTGTTCACAAAAGTAAGAATAATTTTACATTGGGTTTTGTGCCAAGGCGCTGTTTCATTACCTATACATATATACACAGATATATGCATACGTATCTATTTAAAATCTCTAAAGCAATCAAACTAAATGGCCAATTAAAACTGAATGGAAAGAAATGATAATTTTCCTATTGTTTTCTTCCATCTTTCAGCTGTTGGAGTTCTGTTCCGTATCTAAAGAAAGGCAATATGAAGAATCAAAAGTCCTCCTTGGCAATAAGATTGAAATAGAGGAATGTCTCTTTCAATTGGTCTAGTTGTTCTCCAGTGAATAGCCCTGTATTCTTTACGAAGATTCCTGACATCTAGAAAATACTTTATGGCAGCTGAAAGGAAAGGAAGAGGTCCTTCCCTGAACTTATTTCTGACTCAGTATTTCCTGAATCAAAATGAAATAGCAAGTAACTATTAATTATAATAAGAGAGCAGTATTTAACAAGATTAATCACTGTCAGTTCACCAAGAGACCACAAACCTTGGTAGATTAGTAACTGAAGTAGAAAATTAAGCATACGCAGCCCGTTTTCATTAAATTATTCACATCCTGTGTGTGTGAAACAGCCCCTTTGAACATCACGTTTGATAGGCCACACTAAATCCTATGAAGCAGATGGGTTTTAATTGGGAAAGAAAACAGACATTAGAAGCTACATGAATTAATAATTGGCTTTCTCTCTGAGAATTAACTTTTTAAAAACAAGAGCAAGGCCGCAATATGTCTGGTTCTATCTCCCAGTCAATCTGCCAAATTTCCTAACCAGCGGTTCCGATAACCGCACAATCACACTCGCTGGATTAAAGCATCTGCTTTGAAGTTAGTGGAATTTTCTCCTGAATCCTGTGAAGCCCTAACATCACATCATCCCTTACAGCAAGTAAGTCCCGGAAAGGCTTTCTAACACCATCAGCTGTCCCATACTGACCATTCATGGGTCATAATTTGTGAGGATGAAGGATGAGTAAATTAAAACCATGAAATATTATACCAGCTCTAACGCAAAAGGGGTATTCAGCAGGTTCTGACCAGTTCTGAAGAATCGGTAGCAGAAATTTTGAGTAGTTTGGAGAACTGGCAAATACCACCTCTGACTGGCGCCACCCCCATCTATTCTCTGCCTTCTGAGTCCCAGCTGATCGTCTGGGTCTTCTTTTGTTGCCCTGCACAGGAGAACAGAGCTGGAAAGCAGGTTAGTGGGGTGGGGAGGGAATGGGATTTTGCAGTAACCTTCCCCTGCCATGCCCACCAAGCCACACCCACAGAACCGGTAATAAAAAAAATTGAATCCCACCACTGGCTGGAAGGCATTGGTATACAGATTAAGCATTTCCACTCTTTATTCTTTTTTGAAGAATGTCTCATAGATTCCGATGATCTGGAATCAGTTCAGATCCCCCACTTCCTCTTCCTTTTCCCATGTCTCTTATCAGCTAGTGTTAAGAAAGAGGAATTTGCGCAAGGCATTTCTTTCCTCCAGAAGTGTAAATGGTTGGTGGCATTGGGACGTTCTCTGTAACTCATAAATCATGAAGGTTGGGCAGAGGAATAGGTTGTGAGGCCACCTCTACCACCCACCAGTTATGTGCTCTTTCTCCAGCTATTCCCAACAAGATCATAGAGGTGAGATATGATTGTCTAGCTTCATCAGTTTCGATTTGATTTGTAATGTTACCGCCAACCAGCAGTGCATATTCACGGTCAGTGCTGTAATTTTCACACTGTTTTTTTATTGGGAATATTATAACAGACTTCTTACTTTTACTCTTAAAGGGCTTCTGAGCTTCTAGATGAAAAGTCATCTGACACAGAGAAACCAGAAAAAGGAAGGGGAAGCTTCAGATGTGGAACATCTAAGCAAGCAAATCCAGGTGCAACACATTCCATTACAAAATGCTGGCTCAAAGAAGTCAATGAGATTTTAGTCAAATGATCCATTAGGGCAGGGTCAGTTTTGATTCAGAGATCCTACCTAGATGAAACCAACCTCCAACGGGAAGTATCAACCAATAAAATTGTGCATTTGCCCACTTTCACCCAAGCTGACACTCCAAATCTGGCCTATGGGACAAACACAGCACATTGCTGGCTGGGGAATTCTGGGAGCTGAAGTCCACACATCTTAGAGTTGAGAAACACTGCCATAGAACTGAGGGATGAAACAAGAGGGAGCTATTAATAATGAGCGAACTCCATCCTTGATTGATGCTACAAGGGAATAGTAGTACTAGCACAACAAATTATGACTAGAAGCAGCCAAAAATAGCTTGTGGAGCAGGCAAAAAAGGTTTCTGCCCTCTAAAATAAGAAACATAATTAAAAAGTACAGTCATATATAACTTGTTGAAAGAATTAGCAGAGAACCTCTAATGCATTCACTGGAGACATAACCAAACCAGCAATGTAGAGTTATCAGAACCCAGGTATCTCTCGTGATTAAACGGACATGTAGTTTCCACTCCCCTGGAACATTCTTTTGTGAATGTTCCTAATTCTCTGAATTTTTCTTAATGTGCCCAGCATTGGACGCAGTGCTCAAGGTGAGGTTTAGCCAATACAAATCTAATGGAACTATTATTTCATGTGATTTGCAAATGGTATTTCTATTGATGGAGCCTAAAATTGCATTTTCCAGTTTATTAGCCAGATTATATTGCTGACTCATATTCTTCAAATACTTTCCCCATGAACTAAGTTAGGTATTTTAAGCCTTACAACTGAATGTTTGATTTTCTTTTCTCTAGGTGAAGAACTTTCCATTTGTCTTGTTAAAATCTATCTATCTATCTATCTATCTATCTATCTATCTATCTATCTATCTATCTATCTATCTATTTATTATTTTTCTGAGCTGCCCATCAACTCTCTCAAGAGGAAGGTCTGCTCATGCCTTCAACATATCAAAAATGTTTGAATTTTCTTTCTTTTCGAATATTAGCTATCCCACCTAATGTTGTACCTACTGTGTGTTTCAAACTGTGTTTGTTAAAATTTGTTTTGTTGCTACCCTCCCATTTCTCTAGCATGCTAAAGCGGTTTTAAATTTTGTTTCTTTTAGAATATTCGCTATCTCAGTCAAGTATTTACTTCGCTATCTACTGTCAAGTATTTACTCCAGCTGTTTGTGCAACCCAGAAACATTTTGAAGGATACCCCAAGCTAAGGACTGAATTCTACCTTATTTCAGTGCCATGAGGATTAATTGCTGAACATTCTTTGAGTCTACTTTTCAAGGCAGCTGTGGTTCCACCATATAGACATGCCATCCTGTCCAAACACAATTAATTTGATAGTCAAAACGTCATATGCTTTGCTAACATCAAGATAAATTGCTTCTAATCATTATCATCTTCATTTAATAACCCCTTTAATAATCCTTTGTGGGGTTGAGTCTGGGCAATGAATGGAGCTAGCAGAGTGTTTTAATGGCCAGATGCCCTTCCTGTCACTAATGCGGAGTTTTGTTCAGCAGATATATTCTCAGCGTGCCCAGAGAGAGAAATACCTGCCTCTACCTAGGATTGAACTCACAGCCTCCTGATTGTGAGGCAAGAACTCAACCTCTAGGCTACCACACCACTCCTAAGGTAAATTGCTTCTAATGTCTGTCACAAAATCCTGAGAAAGCTACTCTATCAAAACAAACCACAAAATATTACATTAATTTGACAAAACATACCCTTGATCCATCAAATGTAATCATTACATTTTGAGATCGATCAGTTTACAATCTTCCCAATATCTGTGTTAAGCAGGGGTGGGATTCTACCAATTCGTACCTATTCGCTAGAACTGGTTGTTAACATTCTAAGCAATTCGGAGAACCGGTTGTTAGAAGAAATTACTGGCCTAATCCTGTAAGGAAGGCAGGAAGGAAACATTCTGGTGTTGCTTACAGAAACTGCCTCTCTGTTAACCCTTATTACGTTCTTGGCAGGAGTAGACTTCCTGTCTCAGGAACGTCTCTGGAGTTTTCTTTCCCTCTTTTGCTGGTACTTTGCTTGTGTGACCATTCAAAGTTACAATGGCACTGAAAAAAGTGACTTATGACCATTTTTCACACTAGCGACTGTTGCAGCATCCCCACAGTCATGAGAGGCCAGGCAAGGAGATACGTGCCTCGATGTGAGTGATATTGAGTTGGCCACGCCCAGCCAATAACATGACCACCAAGCCACGTCCACCCAGTCATATGACCACCAAGCCATGCCCACCAACTAAGCCACGCCCACAGAACCGGTTGTTAAAAAATTTGAATCCCACCCCTGGTGTTAAGGGACTAAAATGTAGTACTCACCATCCTCTCTTTTGTCCATTTTGAAGAGTGGGGCAACATTAACCATTAATTAGTAGCTTTAACTCATCTGTTACTTTTCCCATTTTGCATGATTTCTCATAAAGAAAATACACCAAGTTTTAGCAGACCATCAAGAACTCCCTTCAATACAGTTAGATGCAATTCATCTGCTCTGGAGATCTGAACCCATTCAATGTCAATACATATTTGCTGACAGAGTATGCTCAAGTTAAGATCCATTGACATCAATCTGATACCAGATGACTTGGCCACAAAATTATTTTCAGAGGTCACACTGTGAATGTGCCACTACAATTTCATTGTCAGTTTTTGTGCCTTAGTTCTATGCCAAGGGAGGCATAGTATGACCCATATATCTTATTTCATTTCCAACTCTATCAGGTCCTAGTCTGGAGAGTTTAAAAAAATCCCAGAAGAGGGCAATGGCTGGCCACTTCTATGTTGTTGCCAAGAAAATTATATTGATATATCCATGTAGTTGCCACAAATTACATTCAACTCAAAAGAGCCTTTTGGAAATCACTTTTTTGTATAGGTCACCTTCGAGATTACTATACCCCAATGACATTAAGGTCAATTTCTATAGTCTGCTAAGGGAAATAATAAAAGAATTGAGTATTTCCAAGAATTGTCTGAATAGGGACTACAACTCTATGGATTAATTCATAGGTTTCCCAAGTACTGCACATGTTTGTACTGCAAAGTAGTAAAGGACTGAATTTCTTCATGACTTGTATAGTAAGGTCCCAAAGGTGCTTTGTCAAGAGGTAACTGGATTTTCTTATTTTTCTTTGAAGACTTTTTGCTTCTCATGCAAGAAGTTTCTTCGGCTCTGACTGGATGGTGAGGAATGGAAGGATTTATACTCTATACTAGATTTGATTCAAAGCACTTTGCAAAGACAGAAAATTCAGGAAGAAGACTAAGACAAATGCAAAAAACTTCCCTTTTATTCTTTGTCAGTTTACCTTCAAAAAAAGGTGATAAGCAATGTCTGATTGGAAATACTTTAGTCCTTGGAATTCAGCCCTTTGAAATTCCATTCATAACAAAAATTAAAATATTTAAAAATAAATTTAAACGACAAATTGAATAGTTATATGTAATATAAACTATACTTTCATAGATCCATTTTTAGTAGTGTGCAAAGTTATTTATCATACTTTTTTATAAAGTCAAGTGAGTTTGACGGAACTAAAAATGAATGATTTTATATGTTTTCATTTTCTTGAGTTCCAATTTTTCCATGAAAAAAGCAAGGAATGAGGGAAGGTGCATAAATGCTTGTGCAGTTCTAAATCAGATTTGATGTCCATCCCTAAGCTGTACTTCTATCCAAAATGCTATTTGTTGGGGAAAATAGCCCCGTTAGAAATCCAGTTTCTGACATCTTGCAAATCACCATGTCAGGGTCTTCTGCCTCTCACAGTCATTGTATTATATAACACAGAAGTAACAGTCAGGCCTGGATATTCAAAAACAAGAGGAAAAAAGCCTGTGTGACTGCAAAGTGATTAAAATTATATGGCACGCACCTCAAATAATTAGAGGGGAAACTTTGCTCTAATCATGTTATTACTGAGTGCAATCCATCAATGCACAGAATTAGAGTCTGAAATGACATTTTCAGAATAAACCAGCAGAAAATGAAAAAAATGTAATTACTCCCTGCTGTCCAGGTGTACTTAAGCATGACTTAGAATGTGAATAGAGGCTTGCTGCTGTAGAAGACCATACCTGGATCTCCTCCCACCGATACCTCAGGTTAGATATGGTGGTTAAGACATTTCACTGCCTTTCCCCATTAATTATATGCCCTTAAAGAAGACAATATGCTTTATATAGAAGGGTCTGTATGGAAAGAGACAAATAATGTCACACACACAAATACATTGATACCAAAAGGGAAGGAGCTTGTGCCACAACAGCACAACATTCATTTTGTGATTTAGGTGAATTTATGCTTTGGCATCTACAGCAAATCTGGATGATGCCAGAATGATGGTGATGATGATGCCCATATGGTGACAAAATGACACAAACTTTGCCCATACGTCCTTGTGTTCCCACATATGATGCAAAGATGTCAGTCACATTTTGTCATGCCATCAAGATGTATGATTCATTAGTTCCTGACCTTCAACCTCTTGTTTTCCCCTGTAGATACTTGTGTGTTTCACACATGTTGCTTCTTGTAGGAATAGACTTTGTGCAATGGATCAAAAAGCAACATAGCCCTGTTTCCTTGTTTTCTTAATGGATATTTTTAATAAGAGTAAAGATGAAAGAAAAGTTAGGAAAACAAGAAAATATTCAGAATAGATAATATTGTTTGGATCGTTCCTCCCCCTTGGTATACGTTCATGAAAAATGCAGCGCTATTGTACAACTATTTATTAAATTTATATGCCATCCCTCTTGCCCTCAATTTTAACTTCATTTCCCATTGTAATAACAGGGTTGTTTTTTTTCTAGGTGCTTCTCCAATTTCTTTTTCCATCTACAAGTCAGTTTCAACTTCCTAGTCATGGGCAGAATAATGCATCCTTAATCTGACTCTGCTTTTTTGAGATAGTTACAGATACCGGCTGTGGTTTAGTGGAAGAAATTGCTTGTCTGTTAAGTTCTATCTTTTGCAATTCTGCAGTGCCCTTTTTGACAAAAAGGGTGGCTTTCTCCCAAATAGACTCATTCTGATCTTTTGCATAGAATTTATATCCAGTGATAATGGTGCTTCACTGGTTCTTTCCTTTCTACCAAATTGTCAGGCTCGAACAATCTTTGTTTTGTTTTAAAGTCATGCTCTTATATGTGTTGGCCTTGTGGGGCAAACCAGAGAGAGGAATCGTTCCCAGATGAGTTATTTCTATTTTATTGTAAAGCCATATTGACAGGACCTTGCAAGGATGGAAGTATAATTCTCCTTCCCTGGCCCTGGCCTCCTTTACAAGCCCAAGAAACTATGACTCCTCTTTTTCTGCCCACTATTCAGCTACAGGCTATTTCTTTGCCCAGTTTGCCAAGGTCTTTCTCACATAACATTACAGTGTGATGTTATTGCTTTTGAAGATGACCCAGAAATTCAGCTAATGCAAAATGCAGCTGCTCACATCCTAACCAAGATGACTCAATATTTCATATAACACCAAAACTGAAGAAGTTTCATTGGTTGATGATGCATTTCTGGGTATGCCTCAGGAGGATGGTTATCACATTTAATCTCTTTTGTAGATTGTGGCCTGGGTATCTTTGAAATTACCTGCTCAGAGGTCTGCTCCAAGGTGTGCCTTCAGAAAGCATTGCCTCAGAGTCCCCACTCAAGAGATGTGAATGAGAGGGACTTAGAATGAAGCATCTTCTTCTGAGACTTCCTTGCTGGGAAATGTGCTCTCCCCAGATATAAACTCTTTACTCTTACTCTAACAGTTGGGAAGGTTTTCAAAAAATGGCTTTATAAATGTGCATTTGGAGACTGAAGTGAGAATTTTATTTCAGTGACATGCACCTTTATTCTTGTGACCTTGTGGTTTTCTTCTTTGTCTATACTTACTGCCTTGATCTATTACCTTGATCTATTCTCTCTGAATATTTTTTTTTTAAAAAAACCACTCTTATCCCCCGCCCCCATAAGAGACTTTCCTTGAGCTGGATGCTCCTTAAGTTGTGTTAACTTTCCCCGCAGAATCAATTTGCAAGCTGCTCTACCACATGTCATATTATGTGTCGGCAGTCCGCTACCTCTCAGTGGCCCAGTTGCACACATAATTTTTGCCAGTGAACTTTCTCAGTTTGGAAACTGAAGAACAAAGTTTCAGTCCGGCAAGGAAAGGACTGGTGAATGGAGGATTTTGATCTGGAACTGGAAGCAAGATCCCACAACCCTTGAGAATGGCATTAACAGTGTATGGAAAGGATGCGTGGGTGTGCGTGTGAATTCCACAGAAAGGAGATTCTCTGCTGGAACACCTTCTGTGACAGTCTGTGTTGAAAGTAGGTGTTATGTATGCTGCAGGAATTCCTGATCTGTGGATGGGAGCATGTCAACTGCAATTCTCTATTGCAGCTTCGCTTCAAATTCTTGAAAGAATCCTTCTTGTAAGTCTCAAATTGACTCAGATGCTGCTGACTTCTTGTAAGCAGGAACCCAGCTAAAGTTTGATTTATGGCTTTATAAGCAAGTACAACCAACAATGGATTTCCTGATTTATAGCTAGCTGATTTACTTTCTCCTGGAGCATCATTTCTTCTAAGCACCTTCTAAAAG